TGTCAACCATCTGAAAGGTTAAGCAGTATTGAGCATGCGCACAATCGTAGCCAATAAAAATTAGGCACAACTGCCCCCCGCATTTCGGCTTCACTCCCCTCGCCTATATTCTGGGTCTATGCTCCGTCCCTATATTTCTATGTCCATGATACCTACCGGAAGCAGTCCTAGAAAATTCGAGTCACGTGACGTTTTGCTGCCGTAGCGTTTTGCTGCTGTATGAAAAGATACCTTAAAATTAGTACTAAAATCTATAGTTTACGTCACGCATATTATATAGTTTTAGCACTAGCAGTAAATTTTGGAACAGCTCAAGATGTTGTATTCACAGCCAAGATGTGGATGCGCAGTAGCAACCAATCAGATTGATTTTACATTTGATATAGGGTGCGTTCACTTTGGACGCTTACGCGCTTTAAGCGTCAATGTATCTTTATTGTTGTTTAAATATAAAACAAAGGGTGTGTTTAGCCGAAGCTAGCGCTACGTAGCGCTACGTAGCGGCTTCATGTAGCAGTTGCAATTGCTGCGTTACTTCTGCTGGACAGTATTGCTACGCGCAGCGCTTTTTGTAAGCGCAAATATGTTTGTATACAAATCGCCGTTGTATTCTTCGGTTGCTAAATTGTGTTTTTTAATTATTTATAAAAATGGCAAAAAAAGTATCAAAGTATTATAATTGAGACGGTATTATTGTAAATGGCGGCCACTACTTAGAACATGCTACGCGTAGCCATACTGTCCAGCAGAAGTAACGCAGCAATTGCAACTGCTACATGAAGCCGCTACGTAGCGCTACGTAGCGCTAGGTTCGGCTAAACACACCCAAAGATAGACTGACGCTCAAAGCGCGTAAGCGCCCAAAGTGAACGCACCCATAGGCTGCGTTCGGGGAGCGCGCTATCAGCGCTGTTGCATTATCCTATCTTTATTGCTCATTAGATGTAAAACAAAGATAGAATGACGCAATAGCGCTGATAGCGTGCTCTTCGAACGCAGCCATAATAAATGTGACGTTTGATAGTTGAGTGTTAATCCAAAAATTAATAACTTAAGTAGTTTTAAAAATTAATAATTAAATAGTTTTCGACTAAAACAACTGTAAAATTGTACTTGTAATCAATGGACGCCATCAAAGAAACATTTAATAAAAAAAAACATTCAATTTCAATGATATTTAATAAAAAAATAATATCAAAATACACACATTACACGTATAAACAGCAGATATTATATCAAGATTTTACTTTTTTTAAAATTCGATTTCGATTTGTTTATCTCTCTTAGCAAATCTTATTAATATAGAAAAAAATGAGAAAAACAAAATTATTTCTTTCGTACAAAAAGTATTATTAATACAAAAGTGCTTTGCTGATATAACAACAAACTTGCTTCGTTCAGATTAGTAAAATGTTTTCTTGATAAAACAATAGTGTTTTGTTAATATAGCAACTTTATTTTGTTTATATAAATAATATAACAGTGTACGTTGTTAATTCAGCGAAGCACAATATAAAAATCAATTTGTTATTACAGTAAAATAGTTTGCACACACATTTAACAAAATATTTTCAACAAATAAACTTAGTATCTCAGCAAGTTAGTATCATATTGCTATCCATATAGTAACATAAACAACATTTGTTATGCCAGTATAAATGTTCTTGATAGCAATAAATATACATTCTATAAATAGTATGTTTCACATATTATTTAAACTAAGTAAGGTAAGGTCAATTATAACGATGTTGAATTGTACAGTTTCCGGTATGAAAATACTGTATGGCTAAATCGTTTTATTGTCATCGATTCCAAATTGACATTTTTCTCTCTCTTTTCACAAAATCTTTATAACTTTGCAATAGTAAGAAAAATTACTTTTGATATATGCAAAGTTGAGTTGAGAAAATTTTTATATACTTGTTCATATCTCGCATTATTGATGAGTAATCAATTAGAGATTGTGTAGTTGTTTCTTTGACAGAGCACTCTCGACAGAAATACGCAGTAGAAAAAACAGTAGAAACAGTCTTACATAGTCAGACGTAACAGGATACGATAATATGTTTGTGTTATCAGAATTGTCCAAAATATCTCTCGGCTTTGTATGCTATTGACAAGCACACTGGAAATGTTTTTACGCACATTAAAATATGTAACGAGATCTTTCTATGTAATTTAGCTTATCTAATTAGTTTAAGTCTTAAATAAAGTCTAATTACAAAGTAACAAAAGTCTAATTAATTTAAAACTTGATTTTCATGATGTCACGAGTTACGTAGTAACTCGTGCGATTCGAATTGTTTAACAAAGAAGTGTTTTTTCTCGAAAGATGTGATATTTCACGTTATTACATCTTTTTATTGGCACGTTATTACATTGCGAGGTGGGGCCATACCGTAAATAACATTGTATCTCTTATTTTTACTAGAGTTACCTCGTATAACTTTGCAATTATCATTTACTTTGCACGATTGATTTGTTCAAGCGAACAGAACGAGATTTCTCGCAAATCTCGATAAACTAATATTCACGACAAGCGAAGCTCGGACGAGGGGGAAGGGTAGTGTAGTTGGTCGCGAAAACGTGTCCGCTCGATGATGACAGTACAGCTACCCTTTCTGTCTTGCGGCATCAGCCGCGTCACATGCAACCACAAGCCTCAACCACCATATTTGGTAGCGTTTTCCGCGTGATCGTGTTGTTGTTGTCGATGTAAAGCATTTGCAACGGAGCAAGCTGCGTCGGCGAGCAGCACGGCGTTATCTTGTTCTTGAGAGCTCCGTCCTTTGTCAATAACTTCTGCAAGAAGAACCGACAGTTTCATGTCTCATTACTTCACAAGAATCGTAATAAGCGCGAGTAAAACAAATTTGTGTTTCATTATACCTTCTCAAACAATTGTATTCAGTCTTAATTTAATAAATATAAATAGAGGGAAAAAAACATAATGGAACAATCTTCGTTGGACATATAAATTTTCTATAAAAATCTTGAATAATAATATTTGTTATTAATTTTTCATTAATTTCTCATTATTTTTTGTTATTTATTCTGTCTTCTAGATGTTGCAGATTAGGAAATTATAAAGCTAAAAATAATCCTAATAAAATTGATCAAAACGTTTCAAAAACATATAATAATTGATTTATTTTAGAATTATTATCTACTCATTTTTAATAAAAATTTGATATTTTAGTAAGAAAACTTCAATAAAATAAAACTTGTTATTAATTTAAGAAAATTAAGAGATTTACAATATTATAATAATAAAAATATAAACAACATATATTTATAGAAGGAATTACTATATATAAAGAATTTGTGAGAAATTTCGGAATTGGTATATACATATATGTGGTAGTCTTTCTTTTCAGACGTTCCTGTTTCTGAATGTAAGAAAGTCATCTCCATTTCACATATGCAAACGATATTTCTTGTTGCGTCACGCCTCATGTATGGTAGAAAGCATAGACCTAAGTTAATGGGGTTTTACGTTGCGTAATAATGGAGTCTTAACGCCCCATTATCGTTACGAATTGCAAACTATATTACCTACATTATGTGCCGTGGCATATAATAAGAGTGCCTCCTCCGACTTTTATTAACAATTAATGCTGGTAATAAAAGACGCGGTTATGCAGCACGATTATATTTTTTTACTTTAAGTAAAGCTTTAAATTAGCCGTAAGAGATAAAAAAGAATTATTTTGTCTGGTATAGATGCGATGTGATGATACTTATAAAGCAAAGCGTCTAAAAACGTGTCAATGTGCAAAATAAAAATTTACATGAGCAAAATGTCCATATAAATTACTTTTAAATAATACTAATAATAACGCTCAAACACATACAACAATTACATATAGAAAAAATAACTTAGATAATATAGATGTCAAACTGCAAATATACATTCAGTTTATAAAACTCTTTATCTATGATACACATACACACACACACATATATATACGCATAGAACATTTGTACTCAATGATATCAACAAAAGATATTTTCAAATATTTATCTCGCTTTAACCATTTTTCGACAAGAAACTTTTGTCATAGAAGCAATGTTTGTTGTTAACAATTCGATTTACGTAGTGCAATACGATCATTGAAATGATCGCGATCGAGAATAAAATCACGGAAATACGCGATTTTCAAAACTAGCGAGCGTCGCGTTCTCGTATCATTCCTTCACAAAAAAAAAACAAAAGAACAGATATAAATCAGACTGGCGACACATTTCTTATACTAGCGCGATAATCGGTTATTACGCACCTTCGTTCTTCGTATTATCTGACATGAGCAAAATAATATTGCTATTCTGTTTGGACGTAAATAAAAACTTTTTCCATATTCTATTTCGAGCGACATTTACAATAATTAAATCAACATAACAACACCGATAAAATAAAACTTGACAATTACATAAGCTTTATAAAAATACAAAGATAAAAATAAAAAGCAGTAAAAATTACGCATCATAATCTTTGTTTTCATGATGAGATTTATGTGCTTATTCGTAAAAGTGTTCGAATCCAAACACAATATGATATAAAACTACGAAATCGCGCACTCACCAGAATAATGTTGTTGTATTGCGAACCGCTAACAGTTAAAGAAGCCGCCGTGATGCAAGATCCTCGACAGAAATAGGCGTGATATCCAGTTGGAAATAGAATCCAATCGTTCCAGCCGATGTCTCTGAAGTCAATGTAGAGTTCGTCCCGGCAACACTCCTTCATCTCGGGATGACAATTCGAAAACCTCTTAGGCCTGTTTCTCTGGGGCAACGGTGCCGTATAGATGACCAAAAACGGTTTCTTGCTCTGTACAAATGACACCGGCGCGGTATCATGATCGATTGAGCACGTGTTGCAACCTATCTGGACAACGTGGTTTAGTTTATGTCGGTCCACCCACTTTTTCACCATAAATTTTATATCTGTCTTTATCCAACCTTCTGTAAAAAAAAATTAAAGTCTTAACGGTAACTAAACAATTTTGGATCTTTTGCTTAATCTTAAACCAAAAATGTTTGATAAATTCAAAAAATTAGTTTACGTTCATCAGTCGTGATTGCGGGTCGTTTGATAGATGTCAAAAAACGTTATACACACAACATTAATGACACATCGCAATATGAAAAAATTTATTATAAACATTTTATGGGACACGTGTTAAAGGAGAACAAAATTTTGCATCTTCTTTGTGATGTGACGAGACAAACGGATAGAAATTTTCTCTCATCTCCGATTTACTCACCTTTGACATCGGTCTCGAAGATTGCCATAATTATGTTCTTTTCGAAACTACCACCCTGGTCCCAATGATCGAGCTCAGATAGCACAAAGGTCTGATTGAGCTCGTCGTCATTCTCGACTTGTTCCTTGTAAAACCAGAGCTCTGCCAAGGTCACGTCGACATACAACATTTCTTTTGGCAGGTAAAACGTGAAACAAGCTGCCGGACTGAACCCCGTTATATGATTCGAGTTCTGCCGGCACATCGTCGAATCGGCCGCACCTGTAATTACGCGAGAACGTTGATGATGTTTTCTCTCCAAGAGTGTTATAATTGAAACACAAACACTTCAGTCAGTAAAAACTGACAATTATTTGTCTAACTCACAAAATACAATGCATACATTTGTGTGATAAAATATCGTTAATAAACACGAGACTACATAATACCTATGGCAAAATCTTTAATAGTAATTGACTATTAAAACCGTTTTATCACACAGTTGTCACAAAGTGTGTTGACATTCAAAAAGATATGCATTATCGAAATTAAAAAATATTAAAAAATTGTAATTATTTTTTTTCGCACTACACACAGAAAAATGCATACTGTATCAAGTATATAATAAATATTATATATCCGCAAATATATATATATATATATTATATATATATCCGCAAATATATTATAAGATTTTTGTAAGTATTTAATTTACTCAAAATACACTCTAAATCTTAGTAAATTTGTATTTTGAGTAAATTAAATACTTACGAAAATCTTATAATATATTATATATTTGCAGATATATAAACTTATTATATACTTACAGTATGCATTTTTCTGTGTGTACAGAGAGATCTGTTGATCGGCATATTCATTTATAAGCATTTTCTTGCTTATCTAATTTTATTTGTAAGTTATTTGTTATTTACGCATTTAATTTTTGAGTCGGGAATGTTATTCGTAGAACGAATTCCGTCTTCAAGATTTTTTCAAGCGTACGTTACTTTTTACAATGTCGTGGCGCAGATTTGATAGCGCGATGAACAGTTTCAGTTCATTGGCCTCGACTATGCCGTTGTAATCTACGTTTCTCGCGTTAAAATCGCTACAGACTAACGAGGCCAAATGTTTCGCGCCAATATTAGAATGTGCGCATGACTTTCATATGTGTGCACATCATACGCGTGCGTGAGATCGATTAGTGCCAAAATTGAATACAAGGTGAATTGAGCCGTCTGATCGCTTGGTACAATTTTCAATGAAAAATATTATTATTTATGACGTTATACACACACACACACACAAAGTAAAAAAACTCAAATTGTTTTCTAGTTACATTTTCCTTCGATGATAAACTTATTAGTCAAGAGAGTTATTATGATTACTATTTCCAATTATTTCCGGATAAATCTATTTTTTTGTTATTTTTCGTATTATACAATCAAAAAATCAATCGACTTCGTCGGAAACTACGACCAAAATTTGTTTCAATATCTCCGAAGCAATTGAAATGTGAATGTTTTTTTTTATATTTCCTATAGTGAAAAATAAAAAAATTATAACGAATGCATAGAAATGTTTTCAACACTTTTCTGAGAACAGTCGAAACGAGAATTTCTATCGGAATCAGGCGTCAAAAATATCAAAACGCCAACAAAACTATATAAATATTGAAACATATAAAAAGCATAGAATTTTTGACACTTATATATCTTTATATCGCATATTCTTCTGTCAACAGACGTGGTGTCGCGAAACTTCGAAAAAAATAACAATAATGAATAATAATGAAATAATGTATCAGAAAAGACAAAATAATGCTTTTTATATATATATTTGACATCTTACGCATCATTTTGTCTTGTCTGATACTATATTTCGTCGGTCATCATCGCTATTCTCTTGAAAGTTTTATTTTGCGAATTTATACCAGCAAATCGAGAGAGAGAGAGAGAGAGAGAGAGAGAGGCGGATTAAACCCGAAATTGCACTCGAATTAATTTTTGGAGACCCGATTCAGTTCCGCCATTCAAATCGATCAACTCAATTTAAAGAGACCGGCTCGGAAAAAATTCTAAGGGTGATGAACGGATTCAAACTCGGGACTTTCACATGTTCGCGCACTAATCCCTTGCATTTAGGCCATTGAGCCGATCAACTATACAATATTGTAATTATAAATTTAAGATAAAAAGACACTACTTGAAAACTTGTAAATAACTTAGCTTGTATTAAATTAATAAACAATGTCACAAGTTACGTTTGATTCAAATGAATCTCGTCGTCAATTTCTGTGCTAAAATGGACTGTTTTATTAAGTATCCACTGAAGATGACTCAAATGTAAGTCAAAACGTTTGGAAAACTGATACTTGTATCAACGTTATTACATCACATCCTGTAATTGGTTCCAATTGCCCATTTCTTACTTTATTGAATTTTCAACCGGAACCGGAGGTCACTTTCAACATTAATATTTTATAAATTAATAAAATCGTATTATGATATCGAGGAATATTAATTGACAATAACATTTAACACATTCGTGCAATCAATGAGCGATTGTATCTTATTGTATTTTTTCCTATGCTCCGTCAGCGAAAATGCTCGTAAAATATGTATCGGTTGTTACTAATAAAGCTGTGCATGACATGGTACAATGCCAAAAGAAACAATAGATCTGAACCGGCACAGTTGTTTTGCAGTCTGAGTGCAGGGGCTGCGAGTATAGAAGGTTTCGAGTTCGAATCCGCTCGACACTTTTTCCAGGCCGGTTCCTTTCAATAGAGTTGATCGATCGAAAAGTGAACTCTGTGTACGTGTAAAACCGATCGACTTGAACTATACAAAATTTATTATACAGCATTCATTACCACAGTGTTGCCAATTTGCAACACGAGATAATTTCTTCCGTGCGTCCGTTTTTCAAAGAAAACATTTCGTGAACAAGAATCCGGCTCGCAGGTCGAAGTTTGAAGCTCCACGTCTCGATTCTGGCTGACGAGATGTGAGCGATTCTTTTGAAAACAAACGCACAGAAAAAATTATCCAAAACTGGCAAAACCGTGGCAATAAATGTTGTAACAAATTTTTTATAGTTCAAGTATACAAAATGCAAACGTTTTTTTGAACTGTAAAAACTTTGTCGTAATGTATATACTTTCTTATCTGTTGTTTTTTTCAAACGCCATGTAATAGAGATTGAAAAGATGAATTTTTCAAAAATACATGTGACTAATTATCCACTAAATTTTTATGATATTTGTTCTTTCATTTTTTTGCGCGTTTGATACAACTCTTCGTAATAACAGGATCTAGACAACAACATCTTTAAGAGAAAGATTTTCTGAAGATTTAAAAAAAATCTATCAAGCATGTCGAAAACGATTTATGCGGACGATTAAAATATCAGACCCCAGTGATTTTGCTGTGTTAATTCGAGATAAATTTCTTCCGCACGTTGTTAAGAATCATATGTTCACGGAGCTTCTGTATTTGCATTGTGGCGGAAAATTTGAAATTCATGGTTCTAGTCAGTTGTCGCGTGTGATGGTAGTCTCTATCTAGAAGCACCAAAGAGAGAAACGTTGTCATTGTTACCAGTTCTCATTTATTTCAAGGTAGCCGTGCTATTACGCAATATTCAAATCCTCGCTAGTTTTTCTCGTCTGGTTGGTCAAGAAAAGGTTGTCGAGAAAAACGATCAGCCGACCGTAAAGAAACAGGTTTTTCACTGAGGAAGAAGCTTTTGATGCGAGACAGTCAGCTTTTTGAGCGTAAATGTATCGCACGTATATATTATAATATACAATTAAATACTAAACAATTACGAATTGCGCAGAAAATACTAAAATTCTAATTTTAGAAAACGCAATAAATAAAACTAAACATTTTCACAAATCATCAAAATTTGATATTATGGCGATACTTACCAGCAGTGTAGATATCGTAAAAAACAGATGCTGTGATATTTATGTAACAAATTTTGAATTGTTTATTTAAGGAAAATTATATATCAGACAAACGCAAAGAAAGAAGAAACATGTTTCTCTCTGTCTCGTAATTTATTATAAATTTTTTATTTGTACAATCAGGTAGATCAAGAGTACTTAGATACATTTCTAACACAATAGTTCATTTGCAGATTTATTTCGCCTGCGCTTCTTCCAAAAAAAAAAAAAAAAGAAAGTATATACACTCGATATTCAGAGATTTTTTTGCTTTTTCGAACGTTCGAAGGCTAGAATTGCACCATGAGAAAGAAATGCACAATATTGATGAATAACGCGTGTTTTTCTCACGTGTTTTGTTGTTCTTCGTCTTTTCTCCATTTGTATATCACGCGCCAGTTTGAATAACTGTTCATTAACAGTTTCTACACATATAGTGTTGCTGAATATTTTTGCAAAGAAAAGATATTTTTCAAATTTTAATTTACACATTTAGAAATTTAATATTTTACAATATTTCAGAATTTATATTTATTATTTTATAAAATGTTTTTATAATTATGAAAGTATAAAATCGAGGTAGTTTTTAGTTCCGTCAAGAGTATCACATATTTTGCAATTAAACAATCTCATTACAATAAGATAAAAAATAATAAATAAAATATCATAGTAACTTCAAATTTCTCTCTCTCTCTCTCTCTCTCTCTTTCTCTCACACACATACAATAGGTTGATCGTCATCGTCATATCAAATATTGCTTATAGACCTAAAACACAAAATCTAACTAGTAAGACTTAAACAGTAAGCAAATTGATCAATCACGTATAAGTTTTAGAAAGAATGTCCCAGACGTTTTTTTACATTACTTGTGATTGACCAATGCTTGCTGTTTGAGTTCTCTTCTTTGCTTCTTTCTTATTTTCTAGCATAACTATGTCAAAAATAAACAAGTGCCTCAACGTATTTTAGTTTTAAATAGAAATAATTGCAAATATCTAATATTGTCGATACTATCGTACCTTGATTCGGAAACACAACGATCTGGTCAGTCTTTCCGTAAAAATTTTCCGCCGGTTTTTCTTCAAGCGGTGTTCCGGGTTGAAGTTCAAGCACATTGCCATTTATCAAGGGCTTCGGTAAAGTCGACAACGGCATCGAGACCTCGGGCGGTTTTGACAGCCGCAGTTTCTTCAGAATCTGATGCTTCACGTATTCCACTCTCAGTTCGGTCAAAAGCAGATCGGGATCGTTAACGTTGATTTTATTCTGCTCGCAATCGGCGCAGTTTATTTCCTGGCTAGTCGACGATTCGTTTGACGAATGAGGCAGAAATGTGTACACTAATTTCATCAAAGGGTTAGTTTTCCACATAGCGCCGCCGCTACTACCCACAAGAAGAATGATATAAAACTTCGTGAGTAGATACATTTCTTCACCACAATTTAAATAACAATTGCACACCTAATCCGAGAAAAATGCTGCGTATTCGGACTGGTGTCCCGACTTTGACAATTCTGACGCATGGATTCACCCACTAGTGATATTGATGTAAAAACGAGTTGTCTAGAAGCTCGCGAAAAAGAGCAGAATGTATCATAAAAAGAGCGTTCGAACCGTTTTGACGTTTATGTTTCTTCGTTTTGTGAAACAACAGAAACGACTGTCGCTAACAGCTGACTGAGCCGCATTAAATTTATAATTTAGTCTCACTGACTAGATCGATATAGAATTTATATTTCCAAGGATTATATTATTCGATGGCCGTTTTCTTCTAAGAATTGCAATAACGTCGTCACGCACAGTTTACGCAATATCAATCTTATATGTAAAACTGCAGGTCAAGCAAGTCGCTGTAATCGAGTCGAGTTGATTGCGAGATCTCGCAAGATTGCGATTTATAAGTGAATATTTATAATTTAATAATCACAATAAAAATTCCACTTTTTTTCTTCTTCTTTTTATATAAGAACTGTTTAATTTCGTCGCTTTAAGTATGAGTTTGCAAAGTCAGCGGTGACTTTGTACACAAGATATTAGAGAAAGCCGACATTTAGATATAAACCTGATTCTTCGTCTTCCGATTCTTTTCCTTGAATATAAACTGACGTTCTCAACGACGCATTTGCCAAGACTGGAGGTGAATTACGATGGTTCAGTGTAATGTAGCTGACTTCGTAGAGAGTGCGTGAACTTTGCTCCGCAGTTGCCGGAGCTAACACGGATTGGACGAGAGCAATGCTGATATCAGCGCAAGCACGCGCCGCGAACATGCTGGTCTATTGGCTGGTTCCTGGATCCTCCAATCTGCTTTAGCGGGTTGTTGGAGCTCCTTGTTCTGATGGAAGGTGTCTCCGTTCATTGATCGATATCTCGGTAAAACTGTGAAAGATTCTTCCTTGGTCAAATCAATGTAATTTCCTCGCATGGCTGTGTTGGCATTATTACAGATCTAAATATAAAACGCGTAATGATGAAACTATTAAAATTCTGTCGTTTAGACACAACATACGAAATACATACATGTACTCTACACATTAATCCATATTTAAATTAATTCACGTATTAATTATCTTTTTTTAGTTAACTTTTATTAATATAATTGTTTGTAGAATATATCTTTGCTTATCAAAATCGATTTCTACGATTACTATTGTTGATTTTTTTTTTTGCGTGAATTTGATTAATATAGCAGATCAAAGAATATTCATTTAATTGCGTTTATTTGAGCTCATAAGGCAAATGTTTACAGCAAAAAGATTGACGTACTCAGATCGGCATTTTTTCGAATTGAAGCTTGTGATTTATATGATTTATCAATGTGTTCACCTCGCGTTTCTCTCTGAAAGATAACTCGTGGGTTTAAAACACGTGTATAAAATCGTTGAAGATTTGATGAACGCTTTTTTGGAGCATCGAGCTTATCAAGAGCAACAAGTCATGATCTCTCTCTCTCTTTCTGTCTTTCTTTTTCTCTCGAGAGAACGCTATTCTGCAAGAAAACATTGCAACATAAAATATGTTTGTACTTGCGGATTTCGCGCGGCTCGTGTGTCTATTTAATAAATCACGCGATAACAGTCTTTGTGGAAAAAAAAGCAATCGCAAAGAGAAAAACCGTATTAAACGTCTTATTGTTTCCTGCTGTTTGTCGATGTCATTAATAATTGCGATGAGAGCAATCTTTATTCTGCGCTTCGGTATTTTAGCTTCCCATTCAAACTTGATGATTTACAAATTTATAACCGGTACAGCGGATGCAGAATTATATTCTATAATTTGTGCCAAACACGGTGAGAATGTAATCAGCAGTCGCGTTTATTTATACCATATAGAACCGTAACTCTTGTTTGCGTTTATCATCAATTGTTGTTCGAAATATGTAATTTTTCGAACTAACGCAAACGCATAACATTATCATTCAGATAATATATAATAATATGTTTTGTGTTTTTGTTTTTATTGAAAAAACATTTTGTTTACTTATTCGTAAAATTGCAAAATTTATTAGTTTTAACTATATTTGACAATAAAATATCTGATAAGGAACGCAAATTCTACTTGTCCACAGAGAAATTTTTTCAGTGTGTTGGCAACATCACACATCTCTTTAATTAACCCCAATAAGCAAACTACTAGCAAATTGTGGACAAATAAAAAAAAATTTATATAAACGCAACGAATTCTTTTGTCAACCTCGAATTATATCACGACGAGTGAAAAAATAGAAACGAACTTGTCGAAGAGGATCTAATTTCCGACTCGCATAACGAGAATCCGTGGTGTTATCAAAATTGACGGATTCGATGTAAAACGAGTGTCGATGAGAACGCGAAACTTTATTGTTACGCGGACGCTGATAAATTAAAATTGCTGTTAATTACAGTTCCGCGCCTTCATATAATGAATATCGATAAAGCAATAATTAGCGATGAGATAATTAGAAAACTACGGGGACTGCGTCTCTCACTGCGAATGGATAACAGTTAATCGATTTACGTAGAAACGTGCGAAAAAAAATAAAAAACACAAAGTAAAAAACATTTCTGCATTATTTTTTTGTAAATAAAGGCAAAAAGTAGGATTTGTGAGACCAGCGAGATGTAATATTTTACTTTCGTTTGTACTAATTTCTGAACAATCATTTAGATGTCAAATGGTCGCGCAAATATCTACAGTAAAGATATCTCAACTAATTTTGATAAAGATATAATAAAACTTTTCTTTTAGAGTTCAGGTTTTTTTTTTATCTCTTTTAATTTCGATAAAACTTAGAATTATTATTGTCTCTTTTTTTTTTCAAGATAAATATCTGGAAGATAAATTTAATTTTGAATTTATAGAGACGATAAACAGGCAAAGGGTCTATTATATTTTTGGTAATTATGCAGTTATACGGACTATTTTCCGATCTCAACAATTTTGACATATGTTATCAAGGTCACCTCCCTGAATAATAATATGAAGGTTTTATCCGTCGCTCATTGTTTATAAAAAACTTATGAACAAAAAAAGTTTCA